CAATATCTAAACTAATAATTTACCTCCTATTGTTACTATACTATTTGAGTTTTAGTGTTTAATTTAACGATTAAAGAGTAATATGTATTTGTAAGATGACAAAAACCCTAATGGAATATTAACGCGAGGGGGTAAATTGTTATTTCAGATTGTGTTATTCAGCCAAACCTCAAGGGCAAGAAGGAAACAAATTAATACCAAGTCTTCAATTATTAGACCCAATTACATTATCTACTTAAAAAGAGGCAAAGACCAAAGTAATGGCCATCAAAATCAACAAGGAAGACAAATCAATTAACTCAAAAATCCAATAGATTATGCGAAAATGATGGGTGCTATTAGCCCCTAATTACCCCAATAAACAAATCTTTAAAAGATAATTAACTTGGGCCATTCCCTATGATTGAGAAAATATGACAAACAACAATGTTGCTTTCTTTGCCCAATTGGAAAATTGTTAAGCAATATAGATACCAATATGAAGGGCTTTTTACTTGATTGAGGTTGTGGCCAGCTATTTAGCTTGACAATGAGGTTTCAAGATGTTGACATTGCAACTTATTCAAGGATTATATTATAAGACTAATATTAAATCGGTTTTCATGTCTTATTAAGGGCAATAAAGTCAATCACTTGATTTTATGCTATTTTGTTTTTTATAATGTCTTGCAAGTGTTGAGAAGGGATTTATGCTTGTAATCATTTTAATTTTAGTATTTCTCCTTTTTTTAGAAAATATAATAATTTCTTAAAATACCAATTACCAAGTGAAAATAAAATTCTTCTTAAAAGAAAATTATATGTTAAGATGCATTAGGGTGGAATAATCTCCATCCAAAATAATTATTTTATTTTATTTTGAATATTTGACAAATATTCCTAAAATTTTAATAGGTGTGTACAAATTACAATGCAAGGGAAGACACCTCAAAATATAAATCAATTAATTAATTTATTGTTCTTAATTTGAAAAAATTTACCATAAAAGTGACGCAATTAAAATAAAACCCTAATAAAAAAAATTATTGTAATGTGTAATAGAAAAGTTATTTTTAGGTATAAATAGTAATACTATATTTTATCATAAATTAAAAAAAAAAAAGATAAAATATTTCTTTAGGTGACATAGACCTTATTATGTATATATAACAAAAATTCTTTTAAGGTTTCTAAGATAACAAAAATGAACCATTAAGTAATATGTTTAAATTGTAAATATTATTAAATTACCCTTAAACTTTTTTATTAACAACAAAACTTAAAAATATAATATTAGGTCACTTACTCTTTATTTTGAAAAAGTATTAAAAAAAATTATGGGACAGAGAAATAAAACGGAGACACTGAAAAGTGTGAAAGATATATAAATATAATAAAATAATAATAAATTTTAAATAAAAAAATAGAGATGTCAGATGGAAAACAAAGAGTACTGTAAGGCTGCAACAAGAGAGGTGTGGGTTATCATTTCTCTTTTCTTATTTACTTTATTTTATTAATTTTTTATTTATTATATTTTTTTTTTTTTTTTTTTGTTTTTTTTTTGGCAGACTTACACATCTCCACTCATAGCACAAGGTAATATTTTCTATTTCCAAATAGATCAAGAAAAAAGTATCTTACTTTTATATAACCCCATAATTAATTTATTATTATATTATTTTTAAGTTTTAACTATGAATATAAAGTGATTTTAGATTAATATAATAAAAAAATTTACTTACTATCACATCTTTATCGATGACAAATAGCGAATCGGTTTCTAAGTGTTTATCTATGTGTGTTGACTAAAAGATGTTTACCTAAAGTCAAATTATAAATTCATCAATTTCTTTTATAATATCCAAAAATTTCCTGTTAAAAGTTTATTTATTCCACATCGCTAATTTGATAGTTTATGTCTATATATATTATGGTTTGATTCCCTTACCCAAACTAGCTGTGCAGTTTGTTTGTTAGGAGGATGGTAGGTCCTAGTGGGTTTTCATATTTCAAAGTGGGAGCTTTAAAACCTACAATATTAGACTTGTTCAAAGTTGAAACCCTATTAAACCTTACAATATTAGACTTGGAACCCCTCAATTGGCAAACCCACAGTGTCTACTATGTGTGAGTTTAAATATGATAATATTATTTAATTGAATGTAAATAGTATGTTATGGGTGGTTTTTCCGCCAAGCTCGGGCCAACTTGAGGATATAGCTCTATCCAGAATGAGATCGACAAACTACGATTGATCGACCCAACATAAGCTAGTCGCGAACAATTCAAGGAATCATTCAATCAATCCCTAGATTACTTCAAATCCTAGATATTGCGAGAATGATGGAACAATGGTGATCATTGCACAATCACAGCACTCAATTGCGAGGATATTGGAATTATGATTCAAATCAATTATAATCCCTGAATTTCAGGGCTTCCTTTGTACAAATCTTGTATATAAACCCCCTCAGACAATGAGGGGGGTCTGAATTTCTATTAAGATTGTATTGTAAGCTCTCACAGCAAATACAAAAACACAGTGGACGTAGGCTGTTAACCTAGCCGAAACACTTAAAAATCTCTTTGTTTTAGTTCATTCATTCAATTTATTGCTGATTATTACTAATCACGCACACATAGGTTCCGATCCCAGCTAGGTCGATCAGATTCGTTGGTTGGTGCAAAATTTTGTACCAACAAGTATCATATTAAAATTTAATATATTGTTATCAACGTCAAATATTATAACTAAAAATCGTTATAGTATCGTTACTAATTGGTAAATATATATAGACCAAGTTGTTGTATATTGTGTGAGGTAATGTGTTACAAACATTTAGATTGATGGTATAATTGTGGCAATGTTGGTGAGGGGCATTAAAGGGGTGTTTGTCGTAGCTTATGAAAATTAGCTTATAAGCAATAAGTACTTAAGTCAATTTTAGCTTATAAGCATTTAAAATTTTAAGCAATTAGTTGTTTGGTTAAAGTACTATAAGTGACTGATAAGTAGTTGACGTGTTTGTGAAAATGTGGCTTATAAGTACATTTTATTATTAAATGACTAAAAGGTACAACTTAAATAAGGGTATATATGAAATTTTAAAATTAAACAAGGATAATGTAGTAATTACTTGGAACACTAACTTATAAGCACGGTTATAAGAACAAAAAAAAAAGTACCTCCTTCCCAACTTATTTTTTTTGCCTTATAAGACTCAATTTATAGCATCAAAAAAGCTAAAAACACAGGTAGTTTAAATTTAGAACTTATAAGCTATGACAAACTTATAAGCTTAGACAAACACCCCTAAACATTATGTATTAAAAAATTTCAATACAGGTCAAACAAAACTCATCTTTATTCAATCACATTTAAATCTGTACCATCATTACACTCTTTATTTTTATAATTTTGGGTTCCTTCAAATATTAGTGCTTCCCATATCTTTAATGAGTGGGTAAGATTTCGTGTGATATGATAATGTTACGAACCAATTACAAAACTATAGAATAACTAAGAGAGTTTATTAGTCATCATATTGTAAATATTTTGAGTTTTCGGTCAAATGGTTGTCAATCCTCTGAAACATTATTGAAGAAGAGAATAAGAAGTCGAGACCCTTGTGGTATCGACGTGATAATGTTGTTAGGGTTATGATAAATCATAATTTCTGTACATGATCCAAAGGTTAGAAACTTAACAATGACGATACCAAATAATGAGGATAGGTAAGAGGACCCTACAAATAAAGTTAAATGGCATCAACCCAAGGGGGTTTGGCTTAGAATTTATAGAGTAAAGTTTCTAAATGTGTATTATAATCTTTATAAAACCTTCTTTCTTTCTTTTTTTTTTATATAAAACCAAAATTTTAATTAATTCACAAATTGATAAAGAGGTGTTGAGTTAAATAGTCGTATTAAAGCATACTTTTTTCTCACTTTTTATTCCACTTCTTAGCCATTAGATTAGAATAATTGTTCTAAAATCAATGGGATTAAGTTCACTTATCCATAGTTGCGGCCGGTCTAAATTATTATGTAAAAATTTGTACATAACCCAATGGATTGATGTGACGATCAAGAAATTTGGTCCTTTCTTGAGTGTTTAGGTTCAAACCTTAGGGTATCGTATCAATAAACTTATGATTACTGTTAAGATCGTGCAAGCTGGTCGGACATTCCGATACCAAAAAAAAAGAAATTCTATACAGGAATTGAAAACTGAAGGACCTAAGATTAGTTGGGTCCGAACAAGCTGGCCGGACACTCTATAAAAAATAAAAAAAAATTCTATACCTGAATGAAAAAATTTAAACTAAAACTCATGAAGAAATTTTATGTTAGTATCTTCAAAAAAAAAAAAAAATACATTTTTTATATCTCTTTATTAATTTTCAATTAATATTATGATTTTATATCGAAAAATTAAAATTGGGGCTCAAAAGAGATTTGGTCTAGCTAGCTGAAAGCTTTATTGGGCCAGCAATCAAGTCCAACCAGGGTAAAATATTCTGGGCCTAAAAATCTATTTTTACTGGGTTGGCTTGGGGGATCTATCGAGTTGCCCAGTTCAGGCCCAATCTGCTAACAATGACATTACATGTGTGTTGAGTTAAAAACTTCGAAAAATGTTAGCAAATTTTTTTTGTGCTTCCACCAAGATGAACTTCAAAATTTATTTATGAAAATAAATTATTTGGAAAAATAAAAAATAACATCAGAAACATAAGTGTTTCAGACTAATATCACAGTAGAAATGGCAGGAAATTACAGGCTTCGGTCCCAAACTACAAAAGCTTCCAGCCTCAAGGATAATTCATGCTTCACTGAGAAAAAAAATTAGAAAATATATTGGAACTTCTCAGCACCAATCCAAGTAAGAGATAATTTTGAATCATTCTAATGCAGCACTATATCAATAAATCATCGTAATTTATGTTGTCAATGATCCAAAGCGTTATCCCCATAAAACAAAAATGAATAAATAAAGATAAAGTGCGGTAAGTTACCTGAAGTAATTAGAAACATCTTCATCCTTAAAAGAGCTATCTGCTGGGAATGTCAAGTAGATCTGTCTATTCGCCGAGCTCCCCTTCTCTCCCAATCCCATTGCCAAAAAGTCATTCCTTTCAGCTCGGCCATGGCCGAACTTGTAAAGTTCATCACCTAACAGCAATGCTGCGGTGGCCGCTCTATGATACATCAAAATGCCATGAAAACAAGACTAATTAGCAAACACTACTAAACCTTAAAACAAAAACATTTGTATTAACACAAATAGAGATATGTTGATGAAAAGCCTGTCCAGTCTTTTAAAACTGCAAATCCCATAAAAACAACACCAACCACCAATCCATACCCAAACTAAAAACCAAAACAAACTCAAACAAATTATCAGTATAGTTATACAAATACATGGCAACACAAAGGCAAAAGGCTAAATGAGACATCTCTAATATGCCTTTTCTGGTCATTTTTTTATCCAAAACCAAAACAAATTGATGTGTTGACCTATACAAAACACCGTCAAAGAGTCAAAGAAACAAAGCAAAATGGGTAGCTCTATCATACCTCTGGTTATCATTTTGTTGTTGCAAAAGAAAGTCATAAGGCGATGGCGGCGAAACTCCGGCCCCAAACTGTGAAGCAGCCAATCTCTGCTGCTGCAAAGCTCCTTTCATTCTCATCATATCTTCAGGTTGCAGATAAACACCCTCCATTTTGCTAGGAGAACCAACCAGAAAACCATTTCCATCATTCTCATTAAAATGGCTATGAACAAACCTGCAATTGTCACCGTTCTTGCAAAAGCCTCTAGCAAAGTAAAGACAAGGCTTATAACCAACATTAAAATTTGAATCTTCACTACCAAAACATGCATCACTAGCTGAGAAACTTCTTCTATGAAAATGGGTATCTACATTACTCACATCCCCACCCCAATCCCCATCGAAACCCAGTTGACTTCTTCCACCAATAAAGTCCTCGTTTTTTGAGGACTCATCCAAAAATGAAAGATAATCATTAAACTGAAGCTCATCCATAAAGTCACTACCACTCTCACCGACAACAACCCCAACATTTTTTAGATGCGGAGGCACCAAACAAGACCCTGCACGTATGTTTTCATATGAAAGGAAAGGACTTGACTTTGGGTCAGGTAAAGATGAGTTCTTTGCAAACTCACGCATCCCATTGGCAACTCTAGGAGATAGTTTCGCAAATGGGTTGTTGTTAACATTGTTGTTTGCCGTGTTGCCGAGTCTAGCAATGGGGTTAGGTAAAGGTGAAGTGGGTGCAGAAAAAGTGTTTGCCGAAAGTCCCAACTGATTTTTGGCTTTGATAATCAAAGATTGCAGAAGGGTTTCAGGGCCTACGGCTAAACGCAACAAATCTGTATCTTTAACGTCATGAATGAGGATAAAACCTATGATTTTTGAGGCGTTTTCTGGGTCTAAGCTTCTGATTCTGTTGAACAAAATGCTTGTTGCATCAAATTCATCCATTTTTGTTTGTTTTTCGTTCAAGCTCTTTTGCTTTCTTGGGTGGTTTCTGGTTATTTTGAGGTGTAAAGAGAGAGAGAGAAAGGAGTAGTAGTGTGGTTAAAGTTGAGTTCTTTGAGGGTTTTGTTTTGTTTTGATTTTTATTGTTGTCAAAAAACATTAAAAAGTGTTTTTGAAGTGTTGTGGGAATTGAGAGTAGGGTTTTCAAGTGAAACAAAGAGCGGGGTTATTGATAGTCAACACTTCACTCTCCCTCTCTTTTGTAAAATTCATTTTGATCCACATACTTTTACAAGTTAACAAAACTACCCCTTTGATCGGTTTTTATTTTAAAATTATTTTTTGAGTAATGCTATGCATACTCACGGATCTTACTAACCATCTTACTAACCTTTGTTAAAATTACATATAGTACCCGTACTATACTTTATATTTACAAAAGTTAGTAAGAAGGTTAGTAAGATCCGTGAATACGCATAGTATTATTGTTATTTCTTTAAGGAGATACATAAAGAAAGTTCCGTGGATAAAACCATCTGAATTGACTTTATTGCCCTTACTAATAACGCCAACGAAGAAAACAACATATTTACATTTCCTCTCTCGTAAATACTAGATTACGCAGTTTAACGATATCTAGCATCATCGAACATGTTATAATCAGATATTATGGGCTAACATTATATAAATTTAGGGTATTGAATTTGCTTGAGAATATATCGTTCATATCTTTATTAAGGGCAATAAAGTCAACTCACTTGATTTTATAGCTATTTTTGTTTTTTCAATAATTGGCCTTGCAAGTGTTGAGACGGGTATTTATGCCTTTGTAATCATTTTAGTTTTAAGTATTTCTCCTTTTTTTAGAAAAATATAATAATTTCTTAAAATACCAATTACATACCAAGTGAAAATAAAATTCTTCTTAAAAAGAAAATTATTATGTTATGGATGCATTAGGGTGGAATAATCTCCATCCAAATAAATTAATTTTATTTTTATTTTGAATATTTGACAAAAAAAAAACTATTCCTAAAATTTTAATAAGGTGTGTACAAATTACAATGCAAGGGAAGACACCTCAAAAATATAAATCAATTAATTAATTTATTGTTCTTAATTTGAAAAAATTTACCATAAAAGATTAAAAGTGACGCAATTAAAATAAAACCCTAATAAAAAAATTTATTGTAAATGTGTAATAGAAAAGTTATTTTTAGGTATAAATTACGTAATACTATATTTTATCATAAAATTTAAAAAAAAAAAGATAAAATATTTTCTTTAGTTGACATAGACCTTATTATGTCATATAATAACAAAAATTCTTTTAAGGTTTCTAAGATAACAAAAATGAACCATTAAGTAATATGTTGTAAGTTAGTAAATATTATTAAATTACCCTTAAGCTGTTTATATTAACACCAAAAACTTAAAAATATAATATTAGGTCATTAACTCTTTTATTTTTGAAAAAGTATTAAAAAAAAAATTATGGGACAGAGAAATAATAAAGCGAGACACTGAAAAGTGTGTAAAGATTATAAATAAATAAAATAATAATAAATTTTAAATAAAAAAATAGAGATGTCAGATGGATGGAAGTAACATCCAAAACAAAGAGTACTGTGAAGGCTGCAACAAGAGAGCGTGTGTGTTATCATTTTCTCTTTTCTTTATTTACTTTATTTTATTAATTTTTCTATTTAATTTTTTTTTTTTTTTTTTTGGTTTTTTTTGGCAGACTTACACATCTCCACTCATATGCACAAGGTAATATTATTTCCTAAATTAGATCAAGATAAAGTATGTCTTACTTTATATATAACCCCATATTAATTAATTATTTTTATTTTTATTGATTTTTAACTATGAATATAATGGGTGATTTTAGATTAATTATAATAAAAAATATTTACTTACTATCACAATCCTCTTATCGATGACAAATGATAGTCTGAATCGGTTTCTAAGTGTTTATCTATGTGTGTTTGACTAAAAGATGTTTACCTAAAGTTCAAATTATAAATTCATGCAATTTCTTTTTTATAATATCCAAAAATTTCCTGTGTTAAAAGTTGTGTTTATCCCACGTCGCTAATTTGATAGTTGTTATACTATATATATGTGGTTTGATTAGAGCTAGTCAAGGACTAGTCCCAAGCAGGCTTGGGCCTGGGCCCGTTTTCGATTGGTCCCAAATGGGACCAGTTGCTCATGGGCTTGGGACCGATCCCAGACCCATGAGCAATTTTAGGACTCGGACCGGTCCTATGGGCCTAGAAAATTTATTTTCCCTCCTGATCTTTTTTTATATTTTAGGGGCGAAACGAAATTTTGTAGGGGGTTTTTAGTATTTTTTAGGGGTAGATTAGTAAGTTTCTTAAAGTTTAATTAATTTTAAAAAATAATAAATAAATTAATAGTTAATTTTAACATAAATGTAATATTCACATTTCACACATTCACGCTTCACAAATAAATAATTAAATAATTTTTTTTATTAAATTATTCATCTTCATCGTCAACAATATTTACATCATTTAAATCTGTATTCTTAAAGAGTTCGAGTAGTTCGGGATCTTCAGGGTGCTGTTGTAGTCTTTTTTTGCATGAGTCCAATCTCGTAAACACGTTATCACTTTAATCATCTCATTAGTTAAAGAACATCTTCTGTCTTCAACAATCCGGCCACTCGTTGAAAATGTTAACTCGGATGCAATTGTAGAAACCGGCACAGATAAAATGTCACGTGTCATTTGGGCTACAATGGGGAATCGACTTTCATGTTGGTTCCTGACAAACCGGTCGTCACGGCCATAAAATTAAACCTAAATACCATAGTTAGCAATAAACAGGGTCAAATCCATAGAGAGCAAAACTAATAACCTAATGTATATGTGAGTTAACGAAAGAGAAATTGGCAAATTGATTGATTAAAACTAAGGAAACTAATTAATTGAAGGAAATTAAAAAACATCAAATAAATTGCTAACTAAAACACAATATTAAAAGCGTTGCCGCTACGGATTCGGTTTGACTCAAGACCAACTCTCACAATTCCTCTCCTCGCTCTTCAATTTCCTAAACCTAGAAGGCTAGACAAATCAATAAAAATATCTCCCAACAATCTAGGTATAATTTATCCTGTCTCCTCATCATCTTAGTTACAGATCGATTGGTTAAAGACTATCATCGATTAACCAAAAAATGCTAAACCCTTAAACATCACTAGTTGGTACAACGTTAACAAGTACAACCTATCAACTTGTATCATCCAATCAACTAATTACACAACAAATGCATTCCTAGTAGAAATGATATTAAAAGTTAATACAACTTGATTGCAATCAGTACCGGAGCAATTTAAAGTCATAATCAACATTCAATAATCTCAAACTGATATTCAATTATGCAAAAAGTTATATGTCAACATACGCTCTCAATGGACATTATCAATTCAGCATGTCGAACATCAGAATAATATTAAAGCATCGCAAACAAACTGAAACGAAAACAAATATAATCTAAATATAAGAAACTTAACCAAATATCCAACATTCGAGCCATCCAACTAGTCGAGAACTGCCGAGAAGATCCATGAGTGTCGATCTTGATCTCCCTACACCGTAACAGGCAACTAGGAGCTCTTCGCTCATGGTGGTGTCGACGAAGGCTGAAATGTCAGGCACGGAGCTGGTCATGGCGAAGAGGATGTAACCGACGACGAGATGATGCGAAGAAGGGATGAAAATGACCAAGGGAACTCCTAGAAGACGAACAAACGCAACTCGCCGGAATCCGACGGCGGCTCACAGGGGCTCACGGCGCCGATCGATGAAGAGAAGATCGAAGGGTACGGGAAGATAGATCAGGTTATGGAGATGATAGATCCGCTGGTTGGAAAGTGAGATGTTATCAGAAAGTGAGCGAAATCAGGGCTGGAAGGTGAAGAGGCACGGCGGCGATTTGGTGACTGAATGGTGGCAATGGAGCTTGGAGGAAGGTAGATTTGATCGTAGGAAGGGTGGCTGGCACCTGGAGAAGCTGGATCGACGCCGGAGAAGCTCCACGGTCTCCGGAAAATGAAGAGATGTGATGGTAGGAGGCATACGTCGCCGGCGTGGGTTGAATGACGGTGGAGGGTGGTCGGTCGGCGTGAGAAGGTGAAGGGTCACCAGCCTGGAAGATGAAAGCTAAACTCCAGCGAAGAGGCTAGGGTTTTGGGTTTGGCGTGGCTCCCGGTTCATGACCTTTCACCTGCAATTTATATACATTGCGACAAATATTTATTTGGTCCCTACATATTGAAAATGATAAAATCAACCCCAAGTTTTATGACAATTTGACCCCTTAACAACATAAATGAGACAACATCAACCCTAGAAAATAAATCACATCCTAATATCAACTTACACAATTTCAAATTTCAATTCAAATATGCCAAATTAGTAAGAAAAACTCAAAATATGATTTTTATACATAATTTCTCTTAATTGTCTCAATATAACTTCAATTTAATTACACATAAGATCTTTTTATCAACAAAATAGAGTCATTTTCATGACTCTAACAGTTCCACCATTGAAGAATATTCATATCACGTTTCTCCTTAATCGTCATAAAGGACATATCCACTTGTAGGTAGCGATTCAGCTCATTTGGTCCATGTATGTACGAACTGGAGCTACTACTTCCGCCATATTCCATATACGTCCACTTGCTCGATCCTTGACGGAGGTCTGTATTAGGGTCCTGATTGTCTCTCCTGAACGTTCCACTTCCACTTCTAATGTACATGTTCTCATATAAAGAAAAAAGGCTATCCAATTTTTGTTTAAAGTCAGTCAAATAAGACGTATAATCATGTCCTAAATGCTGGCCTAACTCAGTAATTATATAGTTAACTACGTGTAATTTAAACATAAGATCTACAACAAGGCCTAATCCATATAAGAATAGAATATCTAACCAATATATCTCATATTTTTCTTCCTCCTAGTCCATATAAGAATAGAATATCTAACCAATATATCTCATATTTTTCTTCCATCTTTAAAACAATTTCCCTTAAAACGTTATTATATCTATATTTAGCAAAAGTTTTAGCAATTTGAAGCAAAATATCTAACACTAAATTAGTAGTCGGATA